GGTTCGGATCCCACATACAGACCGGCCGCTCACTGGCTGAGCGAGGCGCGGGAGCAACACTGAGGGTTGCGATCCCGTTGCCGGTCCCGGTCCGGTACGGGCGCGACACTGAGGGTTGCGATCCGTTGCCAGTCACAAAAAAAAAAAAACAAAAAAAACAAAAAAAAACCTGAAATAGGAGTCATCAACACACAGATGGTACTTGAAATCAAAAGTCATGTAAGTCATTCAGTAAGAGTGTTGCAGTGAGAAGACAACTGAGACTAGAATTCTGGGGAACATCTACAGAGGAAGAAGAGAAGCCAGAGAAAGAGAGTAAGAAGGAAAATCATGGGAGTCAAAGGAGGATAAAGTTTTTAGAAGCGAGATTTGTTCATAGCATCAAATTCTACAGAGAAGTTCCTTCTGAAGTATGTTAGTTGGCTTTTCCAATCTGGAAGGCACTTATGAGCATAATTAAAGCACTTTTAGTGGATGATGGGGGCAAAGGACAGATTGCAGTGGATTGACTTATGATGGGAAGTAAGGAAGTGGAGATAGTGAGTGGGGACTACTTTTTCTGAAAATCAGAATCTAGGCATTTCTTTTAAAAGTAGCAATATCATCTACCTTGTGTTAAATAACAAATGTACAGAAGGTGAGTATTAAAGTTTCTTTCAATTCCAGCAAATTTGGGTTCCTTGGCTGTTGGGGTTATGAAGAGGGACAAGATGTGGCCATTCTCCCCGAGGTTCTCACAGGGTAGCAGGAGAGAGAGACATCGAGGTCCAGGAGCACAGAAGAGGAAACATAATTTCTATCAGAAAAAGCGACTGGGAATCTGAGAAGTTTTCACAGAGGAAATCACATTAGAGCTGGGTTTTGAAAGAAGAGCAGAAGTTCTCCTGGTAAAGAGAGGGGAGGGCATCCCAGGCAGAAGAATACATGAACAAAGGCTGTGTCATGATTGGAGGTGTAACTGTTCAATGCAGCTAGACTGCAGGCTGCTAGGGGCTGGACTGTGAAGTTGGTCCTCTAGCCATGCTAACGAGTTTGGATTTTATTCTGTAATGTAGGTAATGGGAAGCCTTCAGAGGTTTGTTTTGTGTTTCTTATTGTTGTTGTTTTGTTTTACTTTGTTTGCCAGATCAATCACATGTCCAGAATTGGAAGGGTAAAACTGCAAGTGGGGAGACCATTGGAGAGGCTTCAATAATTGAGCATGAAGGATGAGGGCCTGTTCCAAGACAGTGGCAAGATGTTGGGGAAGAATGAAACAAAAATAGAGAAATAAGGCAGGTGAGCTAATTTAGGAAATAAAGATAATGACTTGATTTTAGATTGAACATAGTGAAATTATTAAGCTCAGGCTCTAGAATTAGGAAATATCGTGGCTCTGCAACATCCCAGTTGTGTGACCTTAAACACTTTATTTAACATCTCTGAGCCTCAGCTTTCTCATCTGCAAAATGGGAATAATAAAATGCCTACCTTGTAGGATTGTTGTAAGATGTAAAGGAGATAATGCATTGATATGCTTAACACAAGACCCCAAACAGAATAAGTACTCCATAAATGTTAGCTATTATTATTAATGTTATTAATTGTACTGCAAGCTAAATTTCAGTGACTGGTGAAAATGTCCAGTAGGCAGTTGGAAATATGAATTGAGTGCAAAAGGAAGCTATGGACCAGAGTTCTGACTCACCTTATAGAGAGAGTAGATCTGTGAGAGCAGCTAAGCCTCTGTGGAGGGCAGAGGACTAAATTTTGCAGAATGTTCACATTGTGGTAGGAGAAAAAGTACAGAAAGTTAGTGACATGAGAGGGAAGGAGGTCCTTACCTTGGAGAAGACCTTTAAATTGCTAAACGCAGTGGCTTTATCTAAGTTCTCAGTCCCTGACACCTTTGCAGCATCAGATGCAAATGACCTCTTAAGGCTGCCTTTTAGAAATGCTCTTTTTCGGGGCCGGCCCGTGGCTCACTCGGGAGAGTGCGGTGCTGATAACACCAAGGCCCCGGGTTCGGATCCCACATAGGGATGGCCGGTTCGCTCACTGGCTGAGCGTGGTGCTGACAACACCAAGTCAAGGGTTAAGATCCCCTTACCGGTCATCATTTTTTTTTTTTTTTTGTCTTTTTCCGTGTCCGGCAACGGATCGCAACCCTCAGTGTTGCCCCCGTACCGGACC